CCCTTACGATACCAATCGTCGATCTGCGCCTGCAGAGCATCGCGCTTCGCCAGCAAGGCGGCGTTTTCAGGGGCGAAGCGTGCCAAGACGTCCGCCATCCCCGACCAAAGCGATCAACGTCCACCCCGCTACCGGGCAGGGCGATCCTCAAGCGGACCAGTGCCGGGGCGACGGACGGAGGCCGTGACGGTCGATCATAGCAACTCCCATTCCTCTCTTCCGACATAGAATAGGGCATCGCCACTCGCATCGATAGATGGCATAATCTTACGCCTGTCGATCGCCAGAGGAACGGAATGGATCCCGATATCGCGCTGTTCGTCGATGTGGTACAGGCCGGTAGTCTGGCCGGTGGGGCCGGGTATGGCGGCTGTCGCCCGCGATAGTTTCGAAACGGATCGCCCGTCTGGAGGCTCGATTGGGCGTCAGTTTGCTCCACCACCACCCGGCGGCTGACCATGACCGGGCGGGCGCGGCCTTTCGTGGCAGAAATCGCCCCGCTGGTGATAGCGGGCCTGCCGGGCGGCGGAGGCGCGGGTCTCGCATATCGCGGCAGGACCCACCGGCCCCTGCGTGTGACGGCACCGACCTCCTTCGGCCGCCTATGGGTCGCGCCCTATCTGCCAGGCTTTCTGGCACGCTATCCGGCGATACGCCTCTCACTCGACCTGACCGATGAATTTCGTCGATGTGATGGGGGCAGGTCCCCGATCTGGCGATAAGGATCGGCGGCCCCGCCCAGCGGATTGGCCGTGCATCGCCGCGGACAATCGTCAGGTGCTCTGCGCCCCCCTCCTCTCGCACAGGCCGGCACGCCGACCGGCATCGCGGCACTCGCCGATCATCGGTTGCTGGCGGCGAACGGCCCGCTTCCTGGCGGCTCACCGGGGCGACGGTGACGGGCGATAAGCGATCGAGACCAATTCGAGCGAGGTCGTGCGCGAAGATGGCGTTAACCGGCGCGCCGGGATTGCCTTACGCTCTTTATGGGATGTCGCCGATGCGCTGGCGGACGGACGGCTGGTCCGCGTGCTTCCGCTATATGAGGGATCAGTGGCGGTCGGCATTCTGGGTCTCCATGCCCCCGATCGGCGCACCGGCCGCCGTCCGGCCCTTATCGCGCATCTGGCAGGAGCTTGGCGAGACGCCGCACGGATGAAATGACAACCGCGTCATTTTCCGTGCATCGCTGGTCGACAGCCGCAGGGCAGGCGCGGCAGTCAAACAGAAAGCAGGGTATCAATGCAGGGGGGTCTGTTGCGTTGCTGGACGATGGCGGCGATCGTTGCTGGCAGCGGCGTCGCTCGATGATGTAGCGGCATCGGCCCGTGCCGGTGCCAGGCGCGGGCGTCGTCATCGACGATACCGCTGTCACGCCGCGTTACGTGGTTGGCCCGGCCGCAGCGCGAACTGCCGATCATCGGCAAGATTGCGCTTTGCCGTTGCGCAACAAGCTGCTGTTCCTTGCTGCCCGCCGCCTGTTGCTCAGCGCCTTTGCGCCTTGGGCGATCACCCCAATCCTGATGCTGGGCGGCGCCTTTCTGTGTTTGAGGCGAGGAGAAGATCGTCGAGATGCTGGCCGGTGGCCATGCGGGCGGCGGAGGATGTCGCGTCACCGATCCGAAGGTGCTGGAGGACCGGCAGGTGTCAGGCGCGATCCGTACCGACTGATCCTGTCAGCCGAGATCATGGCAATCGCATTATCCGGAACTGCCCGACATGTCGATTTGGACCCGTGCCATTGCGCTCGCCCCGTCGGCATTGCGGGATACCGCCGGTGTCTACGGGCTGGTCGCGGCAATCGTGAAGATGGACGATATCGGCCTGCATCTGGCACAGCGACAACAGCGTCGATACCGAGCGATCGGGCGCGGTCTGGTCAGGCGATGCCGGTCCTGCGCGTGCTGGCGATCGTCGGCACGGCCGCGATGGTCTGGGGTCGGCAGGGCATCATCGTCCATGGGATGGAGGAGTTCGGGCTGACCACCGTGCCCCATCTGATCCCATGACACGGCACATCACGCTGCCGAGGCGCTTCCCTTTGCCGCGGTGCCGAACTGGATCGCGTCAGCGCGATAGGATCGGCGATCATAGGGTTGATCATCGGCGGTGCTGGTGGGCGTCTTGCACTTTTGCCCGGACGCAAGGCTGCCCATTGAGCGTCGGCGGGCGCTCAGGCGCTCCGCACTCCCTTCCGCCTCGAAAGATCGGGCCCGATCATGTCCGATCACCGCAAACGACTTGCCGACGCAGATCCACGGGAACACGCGGCAGGCGTAATTCCAGTGTGCCGCCGTGATCACGCTGAAGGATGAACGCGCCGTCGCGCCGCACGAGCCGCCCGTCAGTGTCACGGGTCCACCCGGCCCCCTAAATTTCCTCCTGTCATTCCTGGAGCAACGGTGCGGATCGAGCCGCCGGGGTTCCGCGGCCTGTCGTCAAGCGTCATCTCCACTGGTTCCGGCCCTGCTTGGCCCGGTAAAGCGCTCGTCCGCCCGCCGGATCATGTCGGCGATGTCTCGGACCGGCCGCCAGCCGCGACGCCGGCGCTGAGCGTGACGCCAATCGACCCTCCGCCATCATGGGTGAGGATGCGATCATCGACCATGCGCGCTCGACGATTCCCAGCGCTTCGCTCTTCGCGGTCCGGGAAGAGGGATGGCGATCTCCTCGCCACCATAGCGGGCGACACAATCCACAGGCGAACGCCCGAACAGAATGGCGGCGGCGATCGCCGCAAGATCTCGTCGCCGCACCGTAGCCGTGCTGGTCGTTGATCCGCCCAGGAAATGATCGACGTCAGCAAAGGCGAAGACGACCGCTCCCCCTCTTCTGCGCGCATTGGGCGATGGTTTCGATCTTGGCCATCAACGTGCGGCGATTAGTAGATTGGTCAGCGGGTCGGTGCTGGCCAGCCGGTCGAGCTGCTCATTGGCGACCCCGCAGCTCGCTCGTGCGCCGCTCGACCATCGCCTCCAGCATGCGGGCGCGCCGCCGGACGACCGCCGTCACCAGCCAGAACGCGCCGCCGGGGGCAGCAACGCCCAACAACACCGCCGAGCAGCCAAGCCGGCCATGTCTCATACCATTTCGGCGCGACGATAATGCGGACACGGTGGGTCACCGTCTGGGTAGCAGGTCCCAGCACCTCTGCGCGAAGTTGAAGCCAATATTCCCCGGCGGCAGGTTGGTATAGGTCGCGCTGGCTGGCGTCCCCGCAGGCACGCCATCCATCCGCGATCGAACCCCTCCAGCCACCAGCTGTAGCGGATATCCTCGGGCGCATCATACACCTATCAGGAAAAACCGAGCCGCAACGTCTGCCCCTCCACGCCCCAGTTCGAGCACGGGTGAGGCGCGCGCCCGGTCGATCGCCAGCGGCCGGCCCGCCGTCGATATCCGCCTCGCTGACGATCAGTTGCGCCGTCCCTTTCTGGCCGCGCCCGTCCCGCAGGGCGTCGGGGCTGAGGGACGATCAGCCCGTCGGTGATCCTGAACAGCAACGATCCGTCGGCACTGCGCGCTGCCGCCCGCTGGTTGAAGGCGCGTTGATGGGTCAGCCCGTCGCGCCCTTATCATCTCGTGGATCGAGCGTTGCGTGGGATCGATGACCGAGATGCCGCCCGCGCCGGCAGCCCAGACGCGCTGCGCCATCCAGCACCAGCGAAGGCGACATTGTCGCCAGCCAGCCTGCGCCTCGGTCATCGCCTGAAACCGCCAGCCTCCCGCGCCCCGGCGGCCAAAACGACACCACGATGAGGCACCGACCCATAGATTACCGCCATCCATCGATGATCGATCCGACAGATCGCCCAGGGCAGACTGTCGGGATCGCGTACATTGTTTGCATAGGTCACGAAGCGCCGAGTGCCGAGCTTCATCCGCCCATGCCCGCCGGTGTTGCGAGCACACGTCGCCATCCCGCAAGACGACGATATTGATCACCCTCGTTGTTGGGCAGGCTTTGGGATCGGCGGCATCATGTTGATAATGCGTCACCACACCGGTTGCGCGGTCTGAGGATGAACAGGCCCTTGTATTGCCCGATAAGCAGCTCGGCCCCGCCGTTTCGCCCAGCGAGATGATGGGCAGGTTACCGATCAACGCGACCGGGATATCGCGCTGCTTCAAGGTGGCCGGATCGATGGCGATGATCCCGCAGGCACCGACCGGGATCGTGCCGTCCCCGCGCTTCCAGCAACGCCTTGATGTCCTGTCCAGCATGACTGCCGTTCAACTTCACATGCCGGACGCGGCCTGCCGCCGGTCGAGCGCGATCGACCGACCCGTCGCTAGTCCCAGCCACAGCGATCGCGACGATCGGCCGAGATGCTGCGGACGTTATCGTCGGCCAACGACATTTCAGGACGTGGCATGGCCGACCCTACCGCGACGCATCCTCGTCCTCGGCCCTTTTCGCGACGCGCCGAGTTCCATCGCGGCGGAATTCGCCGCTGCCATCCAGCGCCAGCGCACGCACGAGTATCGCCCGCCAGCGATGTGGGGTTAGCCGCCCGCACGACGAGCCCGCTGGCGGTAAAGCCCCGATTGGGCTCGACCAGCGATCCAGCGCCGTCGGCCGATCCAGATGCGGCCCGCGATCGTCCTCGATGGGGCGCAGATGGTCCATGCGCGATCAGCGGCGCGGATTCGGCCAGCGAGGGCGGATGGATGAACGCCGGTCGGGGGCCACCACCGGTCGAGACGTAAACGCCTCTGGGCCGGTGCCCACCATAGGCGACCCGCGCGGTCGCGCAGGATCGACCAGACATCGCCGACGGGATGTGCGCCGTCCACAATGACCCTGACGAACCGCCGAGCCCCGGGACGCATCGCCCGCAACCCTGTTCGCATCCCGCCCATAGGGTACCGTCGCGGTCGCGATAGATGGCGAAAGGCGCCCTGATGACCATCGCCTCCTTGGTCGGAATCGCCGCCTCACTCATGGGATCGATACGATCGTCGATCGAACGTAATGATGGATGCCCTCTTCCGAGGCGATGAAGGCGCCGCCCGCGCCATCGGGTGCAAAACCCCGATATGCGCCATCCGATATGGCCGTGCCGGGCTCAACCGGACGAAAGCGCCCCGTCCGAGGATCGAAGCCGGGCGACACCACCCATTCGTTCCGATCAGGATACCGCCATCGTCGAGGGCAGCAGCGCCCGGACATAATTGTCAGGCAGGCTCCACGATCGGTCGATACCTGCCCGAACGCCGCACACGCTGGCCGTCATAACGGGTCAGGCCGCCGCGCGTCCCGATCCACGCATCGTCCGTCCTTCGCCCGCACAATGGCGGTGGTGGTGATATGCGGAAGCCCGGTGGCATCGCCGGGGGAGAACTCGTGAACGATGCCGATCCGCCAATCCGCCGAGATCTGAGGTTTCGCGCTTGCCCGTGGCAAGGCGACTGTCGTCAGAACAAGGCGGCCGCCCACCGAATCTCAATAGCGTCATGCCGTCATCCCGACATCGCCCTAGCTTTGAGATCGGTAAACCAGGTTAATCACAAGCCCTCAGCTAGCCGTCCTCAAAACGGAGCAATCGGGCCTGCCCTGTCCGATGGGGCCGCGGGCAGACTGTTTTCTTTTGTTCCATTCTTTGCTCGCGCGGAGCAGGTTTGCGCGCTAATATCGGGGGATCAAGCGACGCTGTCCCAGCTCCCCGATTGGTTGGACAACCCCCATTGAACGCGACAACCTGACACGCCTCTGATCAACCGCAAGATTATCCATGTCGACATGGACGCCTTCTATGCGTCGGTCGAGCAGCGCGATGATCCGGGGTTGCGCAGACGTCCGTGGCGGTGGGCGGGTCGCGGAAGCGCAGGGCGTGGTCGCGGCGGCGAGCTGAAAGCGCGGTCCTTTGGCGTTCGGTCGGCCATGCCGTCGGTCACGGCGCTGCGACGATGCTGACCTGATCTGTGCCGCCGCGCCGACGTCTATCGTTCGATCTCGCAGCGGGATTCGGGCGATCTTCGCGCGCTACACCGACCTGATCGAACCGCTTTCCCTCGACGAGGCGTATCTGGACGTGACCGAGGGACGCGCCGGCACGGGTTCGGCCACCATCATCGCCGAGGCGATCCGTGCCGCGATCTGGCCGAGACCGGGCTCACCGCGTCTGCCGGCGTCAGCTAACAAGTTCATCGCCAAGCTGGCATCGGACCAGAACAAACCCGACGGCATCTGCGTCATCCGCCACATCACATGGACCGGGCTTCGTCGCCGCGCTGCCGGTCAAGCGCTTCCACGGTGTCGGCCCGTGACCGCGCGCAAGATGGAGGCGTTGGGCATTCTGACGGGGGGCCGACCTGCGCGATCAGCCCCGCGATTTCCTTCACCGGCATTTTTCGCGCTTCGCCGAGTATCTGTACAGCGCGGCCCGGGGCATCGACCATCGCCCGGTCCGGGCACAGCGCATAGCCAAGTCGGTCGGCGCCGAGCGGACCTTCGAGACGGACCTGTCCGGCGGGATGCGCTCCATGCGGCCTGGAAAAGGTGGTCGGGCGGCACAGATCCGTATCGAGCGCAGTGGCGCGATCGGCGCGGAGGGGCCGTGACGCTCAAGCTGCGCTATGGCGACTTTCCGGACGATCACCCGTGCGCGATCGTCCGCGTCAAGGCGTCACCGACCGCGCGAGCTTCGGCCGTGGGGCTGGCGCTGCTCGATCGGCAACTGCCGATCGAGGGCGGCGTACGTTGCTGGGGCTGACCTTGTCGGGTCTGAAGCGCGGCGGATCAGGACGAAGAGCATGACAGCCAGTGGTCGGTGCAGGTGGAACTACCGCTGTGATGGTCAGGCCATGTCGATCAACTTACCCCGATCATGCAAAGGCGCTGATCGGGCATCTTCGGCGACAGGGATCATCGGCGGGGCCGCCGCGCGGCCGGTTTGCGCGCTTCGCCCGGAGCAACGGGGCGGGAAAGAAAGCCCTGCAAATGGCGCCCCGGCCACCCGCAGCGCCTGCGCCTGTGCTTCAGTCTCGACCCTTCGGCCACCACGCCGGGCCGGGGCCGGCCGAGATGGATGATCGAATGGACGATCGCGGCGGACTCCCGCTCGGCCCATGCCGTCGATGAAGCTCCGGTCGATCTTCCAGACAATCGACGCGAATTTGCGGATATTGTAGGGCTGGAATAGCCATTGCCGAAATCGTCAGAGAGCGATCCGGAAGCCCAGCCGACGCAACTCGCACAAGGTTTCCGCCGCGCGTTCGGCATCGTCGAAGATGGCGGTTTCGGTGATCTCGATCTGGACGCGGGCGGGGTCGACCCCGGCGCGGCGGACACTGTCGGAGATATGGCCGACGAAATGCGATCGACGGAACTGGATCAGGCTGAAATTGGCCGAGACACCTTGATCGGCCAATGCCGCACCTGCGCCAACGCTTCGTCGAGCACCCAGTCGCCCAACTGGTGGATCAGATTGCTTTCCTCGGCGATCGGAATGAAGATCGCCAGGCTGACGACGCCATGGTCCGGATTGCGCCAGCGGACCGAGGCCTCAAAACCACAATGCCCAGATCGCCGCGCCCACGATCGGCTGAAAGACCGAAGGGTGAGTTCGTCGCGGACGATCGCCTCAGCCAGGCCAGCCTCGACCGGGCGCCGGACGCGAATACCCTCTCGTCCATCCGCTCGTCGAATACCGCACCATGCCCCGCCGGACCGCCGGGTCGTTCAGCGCCATGTCGGCCCGGCGCACCAGATCGGTCGGATCGCGCTCACTCCTTCATCGCTCATCACCGGGCCGCAGGACGCCCCCAGCGTACAGGAATGCCCCGGGGATGCTGGGGTCTTGCACAGGCCGTCGATCCGCTTTCCGCAAGCAACGACACGCCCACGCCTTCGTCTGCACTATCGAAGATGATCCAGAACTCGTCACCGCCCAGACGTGCGACCAAAGCCCCGGCAATCGCGTACTGCTACGGGTCATTTGACCTCGCGGATCAATTCGTCCCCGGCCAGATGCCCCAGCGTGTCGTTCACCGGCAAGCGATCGAGATCGATCATCGCCGTCTGGTGACCGGCCAGGGCATCCGTCGCGTTCAGTCAGCCCCGCAGAGAAAGCGGCTCGGTTGGGGGCATCGGTCAGCGGATCGTGCATCGCGATGTGCATCGCGCGGCTTTCGTGGCTTCGGTTCAGCCGACTTTTCCTCCAGCGCGATGACCTGCGCCGCCAGTTGCGCACGGGCTTGGGCCAGTTCACGGTCATTCTGCCACCGATGGCACAGCGCGATGGCGGTCTGCGGCACCTCCGCTGGGGCAAAGGCTAGCGAGCGATGTGAAGATCTTGTCGGCGGGCCCGGCAGCTGGCTGATCTCGGCCGGCGTGAAATCGGTATAGCCGGTCACGATCACAGTGGATATCGGATCGAAGCGCCCGGATACGCCGCGCCGTTTCGCGGCCATCGATGCCAGGCGGCATGCGGATATCGATGAAGGCAGCGACCGCAGAAGGGCTCACCTGCCCTAGCGCCTTTCGACCTGCGCCACCGCCTCCTCACCCTGAAAGCGGTAGCGGACGTCGCCAAGCGGCTCCGGCTCGGCGCCAACAGGCCCATTGGCCTCCGCGCCCGCTGACGAAAAACACCGGTCATAATTGGCGTGAACGGCCGCTTCGTCGTCGACGATCAGAATACGCATCCGGTTACCATCACTCTCCGCTAATTTACAAAAAGTGACGGTAACCAAAGACGTTTTAATCTGACGTAAATGGACGGTTATTCGACGGTGACGCTCTTGGCGAGTTACGCGGCTGGTCGACATCGGTGCCCTTGGGCCACCGCGACATGTTAGACGAGCAACTGGACCGGCACCGCATAGACGATCGGCGCGATCGGCGGTGCACCGCGGGCATGGTGATCGTCGCGATACAACCCTCGCCCGCCGCCTCGATCCATCATGGTCGGAATCAGCACGACCCTTACCACCGCGCGCCTGCGCTTCCTGCATGTTCGACACGGTCTTTCGAACAGCAGGCCCGACGGTGCGATGACGATGACCGGCACTGATTCGTCGATGAGCGATAGGGCCATGCTTCATCTCGCCAGCAGCGCAGCCTCGGCATGGATATAGCTGATTTCCTTCAGCTTCAGCGCGCCTTCCAGCGCCAGCGGTAGTCGGTGCCGCGGCCCAAATACAGGACGTCGCGCGCCCCGGCGATAGCGCCCGCCATACCCTCGATCGCCTCGTCATAGGCCAGCGCGCCGTTGATCGCGGCAGGCGCCTCGGCGGTGGCGGACGATCTGCTTTTCTTCGTCCGCCGTCAGGCGCTGCCAAATGGCGAGATTGGCGGCCAGCGCGGCGAGCACGCTCAACTGGCGGGTAAAGGCCTTGGTCGAGCGACGCCGATCCTCCGGCCCGGCATGGGTGGGCAGCAGCAGGTCGGCTTCGCGCGCCATCGAACTGGGTGGGGACGTTGACCACCGCCGCGATCGTCTGCCCCTGGCGTAGCGCCGCCAGCGTGTCGGCAGCAGTTTCGCCCGACTGGCTGATGACGATCATCAGCCCGCCCGCTCCATCACCGGCGTGCGATAGCGGAATTCGGACGCGACATCGATATCGACCGGCACGCGACGATGCTCGAACCAATATTTGGCGACCATGCCGGCATGAAGCTGGTGCCACAGGCGAGCAGTCGTGACGCGCTTGATCCCTGACAGGTCAAAATCGGGAATGGGCAATGCGATCTTGCCCTCCAGCCGTTGGAATAGGGCGCAGCGTCTAGGCGACGACGATCGGCTGCTCGTAGATTTCCTTCTGCATGAAGTGGCGATGGTTGCCCTTGTCGATCAGCGCGCCGGTCACGCCCGAGATCGTCACGGGGCGTTCGACCGGGTTGTTGTCGCCAGTCATGAACCTGCGCGCCTTCCCGGGTGCCCAGACGACCCAGTCGCCCTCGTCCCGAATGGGCGATACGCTGGGTCAGCAGCGCGAGCACCACGCGTCGAGCCTAGATAGGTCTCTCGTCATCGCCGTACCGACGACCAGCGGCGAGCCGAGCCGCGCCGATCAACAGATCGGGCTGGTCACGGAAGAGGATGGCAAGCGCAAAGGCGCCGTGCAGAGCGCAGCAAACCTCGCGGACCGCCGCAACCGGGTCGAGCCCTTGTTCGACCTTCTCGCTGACAGATGCGCGACGACCTCGTATCGGTCTCGCTGGTGAAGACACGGCCGCGTGCCGTCAGTTCTTCGCGCAGTGCCTTGAAATTCTCGATGATCCGTTGTGGACAACCGCGACATGATCGGTGGCGTGCGGGTGAGCGTTGTTGGTCGTCGGGCCGCCATGCGTCGCCCAACGGGTATGCGCCATGCGCGGCGTATTCGCGCGCCAGATTGATCGTGCCAGGCAGCGGATGCCGTTCGATCGAACCATGGTCGATCGTCGCGATCAGCTTGTCATAACCGCAATTCCAGACGAAGCCATCGTCGAACGCTCGACGACATCCTCGCCGCCCAGAATTCCTACGATCACCGCACATACTCTTTTACTCCCCAGCCTTCTTCGCGGCCTTCTTGGCCGTCATCATTCGCGGAAACACTTGGCCCAGCCGGCCTTGGTCTGCCGTTCGGCCTGACCAACGCCAGCGCATCGGCCTCGACATCGCTCGTCACCACCGCGCCAGCCCCGACAATGGCGCCCGCCCGATCGTGACCGGTGCGACCAGCGCGCGTTGGAACCGATAAGCTCCCTCACCGATCACGGTGCGATATTTGAAAGCCGTCATAATTACAGGTGATCGTGCCCGCGCCGATATTGGCACCGGCTGACCTCGGCATCACCCAGATAGGTCAAGTGGTTGGCCCCTTGGCGCGGGGGCCGAGCACCGCCTTCTTCATCTCGACGAATTGACCCGTGCCTTCCCACATCGGCACCGGGACGAGAAAGCGGGCATAAGGCCCGATATCCGCGCCACTCGAGGACCTTTGCGCCTTCCAGATGGCTGAAAGCATGGATGGTGACGCCGTCAGCGACACGGACGCCCAGGACCGAAGACGACATGCGGCTCGATCACGACATCGCGGCCGATCTTCGTGTCGTGAGAGAACCAGACGGTATCAGGCGCGATCAGCGTCGCCCCCTTCGACCATGGCGCGAGTGCGGCGACGCTGCTGCCAATCGCCTCGACCACCGCCAATTCGCCCCCGGCTGTTGACGCCCGGCGACCTCGCCCTCGGTCTCGATCACCGCCGAATGGCGGCGCCATCGCTGGCAGCAAGCATCACGATATCGGGCAGATAATATTCGCCCCGCCGCATTGTCGTTGCCGACACGGTCGAGCAGGCCGAACAAATCCTCCGAGCGCACCGCCATCAGCCCGGAATTGCAGAGGTTTTGGCGCGCTCTTCGATGCTGGCATCCCAGAACTCGACCATACGATCCCGTCCGGCCATCGGCATCGGCGATATTGACCATAAGCAGCCGGGTCACTCGGGCAAAGCCCAACACCACGGCTGCGGGCAATCTGTAGCCAACCGATCGATCATCCGCCGCATCGTTGCGGTTTTTCGACCAGCAAGTACATCGCCGTAAAGAATGAGGACATCGCCTTCAAAGCCCGCCAGCGCCTCGCGCGCCTGCGCTACCCGCCGGCGTGCCGAGCTGTTCGGCACAGAGCGCAGTGCCGACGCCCAACGGCGCGACCGCCGCCTCCACCTGTTCGCGGCCCGCCCGTCGACGACCACGCGCTCGGGCGACAATTGCCCAACGCTGTCGATCAGATGGAGCAGCATCGGCCGCCCAGCGATGGGGTGGAGGACCTTGGCGCGGTCGATTTCATGCGGGTGCCTTACCGCGGCGAGAATGATGGCGGCGACTGGTCTCGTCATGACGGTTGCGCCTGCCATGGATTTCCGGCAAAGCCAGCCGGAGACTGCATCGGGACCGATCATGGACGTCAATTCACCGCACGGTTTCCCTTCTCCATCGTCCGGTTCAGATCTGGACGGCACGCTGCTGGACGCAGCGGCGATCTCGCCGCCGCCGTCACCCATGCGCTGGCCTCGATCGGGCGCGATCCGCTGAGCGTCGAGGCGGTCAAGCCGATGATCGGCAGGGGCGCGCGTGCCATGCTGCGCCATGGACTAGATGCGACCGGCGGCTGTGACGACGAAACGCTGGATACGCTGCATCGCCGGCTACTCGACTATTACGAAGCGGGCGGCCGTTCCGTTCACCGCCCCCCTTTCCCGGCGCCATCCGGGGCGCTCGATGCGCTGGCCGAGCGCGGCGTGACGATAGCATCATGACCAACAAGCTGGAGCGTTTCGCCCGAGCGATCACAGGCGCGCTCTCGGCCTGACCGATCGGTTCGCGGCGATAATCGGCGGCGATACGCTGGGCGTGGCTAAGCCCTCGCCCGTTCCCATCAGGCGTTGGTCGATCAGTGCGGGGCAGCAGAGCGTACTTATCGGCGATTCGATCTTCGACGTTCCAGGCGGCCCGCGCCGCCTTCCTGCCGATCGTCCGCCTGCCGCTCGGCTTTCTCAGCCAGCCGGTTGAGACGCTGGGCGCCGATGCGATCATCGACGGCTTCTGACACGCTCCATTCCGACGCTGGGCGACTGGCCCCTTCCGCCACTTGATCCCAAGGTGACGGAGCAGCAGCGGCGGCGGCATCGGATCAGGTGTGACCGGATGTAGAAAGCCCAGCCGCGTGACGGGATGCCGCCCCGCCCCAGCCATCGCGGGACGGCATACGGCGACGGAATAACCGATCGATGATCGTGAGACGCTGCCAAGCATGGCGCTACCAGCGTCGCGTAAAGGCATGGCTCAGAACGCATTGCACGACCGACGGCCGTCGCCAGACCAATGCGCCGCCGGGCCCTCAATCCCTCCGCGCCGCCCTCTACGACCAGTGCGCCAATGTCCAGGGTGCGCAAACCGCCGAAAGTCACCATCGGCGAAGGGTGAGCGGCGGCACTGAATGTCATGTCGTTATGCGACAGGACGGATAGCCCGCCGTCGTCCAACGAACGGCATCGGCGATCATCGCTTCGGCATCGGGTGTCGGCCCGCGCGGTCGGAGAAGGATGGTGTGATGCGTCGAGCATCCGATCGCGCTCGCGATGGATCCAGCGGCGGCAATTCGTGCGTCGCGGCGATAATAGAGATCGTCATAGCAATTGGGTTTCACCCATTCCCCGGCGCCGCCGTACCAATAGCGCGCCTCACTTCAGGGAGCAGGGCTTTTGGGTATGGGATGTCGCAATCGCCGATCGACCGTCCACGGCCTGCGGCAAGCCCCGCCGCAACGAATGCGGTGCCCTTCAGCAGGATAACGGGGCAATTCAGCTCGGTCAGCGCATGGGCCACCCGGTTGGCCTCCCCAAAGCAATACAGCCCCCTTCGCGCCTCAGCACGGGCATCGTCCGCACTGTCATGACCGCGGCCGGCAGGCGGGCCATCAACCCGTGCGCCGGGCTGTAAAGCAGCAATTCGGCGCAGGCCACGGTCAGTTCATCCACTCAGCAGGCTGAGTGCCAGCCCCTCCTCGGATCACGCAATGGCGAAACCAGTCTGGCCGATGGCGTCATAGCGCCGCCCACTTAGTTTCTCGACCGCCGCGACACCCGCCGGACCGTCAGGATAGTCAAAGGCGATCGCCGGTATCGTCGCACGCAGCCGCGTGAAGGCGGCGCCGTGAAAACCGGCTTCACCGGAAGTGCAACGTAATTGGTCGACGCTTTGGGTCAGCCGGACGAAACTCTCCGCCGGGAAGGACGCGTGTCGCCTCCGGAAAACCGAAACGCGGGAAGAGCAGCAAAGCCGGTTTTGCCGGTCGATCCATGGCCGCCAGTGCTGCGGGATCGGGGGCAACGTGGCGAATATCCCCGTTGGTGTTCCGGTGAAAGCGGCCCCGACCTGCTGCCCATGGAAATGGACGAAGCTTTTTCATTCTTGAGGCTACTGACCGGTCTTGGAAAGGGCACGACCATGCCGCTTGCCGGTTCGATCAACGCAAATTCATCGCTCAAGCGCCAACCACGCTGGGCGAGGGAGCAAAGCAGTGTCGATTTTACGGCCCCGATATGCCGCTCGCATGACGGCGCGGCCGTCGCGTTCGACCACGGCAGCGTGCAGAAGCAGATGGCGGCGATGCTGGCGCCATCTGCAAATTCATGCCGAGTTCGGCCGCCAGCAACCCTGGCACACGGCAGCAGCGCCGCTTCGGGCAAACGATAATCGCCGCTGATCCGGATCGACCAGGCATCCAGCGCCGCCAGACATGCTCGGCTTCCAGCCGCACCGTATAGTCGGCGAATTCGGCATGGATAATCACGGTACAAATCCGCGACCGCCGCGATCGGCGCCCGCCAATCCGAGCCGATGCGGAAGCCGACCAGCCCGACGCGCAGGGTCATCGAATGCCTCACGGACGATCGACCAAGCCGGCGGCCTCCAGTTCGTCAACCGCGCCTGCAAAGTCGCTGCGGCGTCGGTGGCGTCCAGATCGTAATCCCTCAGCCGCCCATCGGTTAGCTTCCAGCGTGAGCGGGTCCCAGCCAGTGCCTCCATGACTTGCAGCGCCGGCTCGGTCAGCAGATGGGTGATGCCCGAGGGCGGTGAAAGACCCGCAGTGAAAATGTCGAGCAGCTCGGCCATCAGTTCCGCCGCGACCGTGCGATAGCGCGGCTCCGCCACCGATCAGCCGCCCGGCATCTGGGTGAGCATAACAAGTGAAGCCGCCCTGTCCGCTGCAACCGCCGGATATAATTCGAATAGGCGGTTGCTGAAATGGTGGTGTTGGGCAGCATGCCGCCTGCAAAGCCCGCACCTCTTCGCCGGTATAGGGTCGGCTGGGCGCGAAGGCGAACAGGGTGCGCGCCGAGTAAATCGATCCGTCGAGCGCGATATAGCTGCCCCCGCGTGCCTGATCCGGGATCCAGGTTTCGCCGGTTAAACCGACCCGTCGTCTGCGCCAGAGCCGGGCGGATCGCCACCACCGTGCTCGCCCCCCAAAGCGCCCAGCATCAGCGCACGCCGGCTGGTCACGCCCTTCGGAAGCGTCGGTTCCCGGATCAGTTCCTCGCTTTCCGAGGGCGTTGGCGGCATTCGTCCATGTCTGGTGATTTCCCACATTCGATGCGGTGGGACAAGCGCACGGGGGCGCTCATCTGCTCCAAGCTGGGAGGAAGACAGGGTGCCCCGCGCCCGCTACATCGATGCGCCATGGGGATTCGGCATTCGCACCTTGTGGGCCATCATCGTGGCGGTCGTCCCGCGGCCGTCGTCGTCGTCCTGTTGGCCGGGCTGGTCCCGCGATCATCACCACGGTCGGCGGGATCGCCGCCGCCACTGGTTGCGAGCGAAGGCGAACAGGCGGGCGAGGATGATGAGGATAGCGGCGAGGAAAAGGCACGACGCTATCTCCCCTGCTCGCCGAGGCGCTGGATGCCATTATCGAGCCGGTGCTGCTGATCGAGGGTGGCCGGGTCATCACGGCCAATCGCGCGCCCGCACGTTGCTGGGTGCCGCTTATCGTGGGGTGAAAGATGCCCGCATCGCGATCCGCCACCCGGCGGCCGGGAACGCCTGATGGCGCCCGGATCGGTCGAACTCGAACAGCCCATCTCGCTGGTCGGCACAGGATCGCTCGATCATCGCTGGGAGATGCGGGTGGCGGATGTCGCCAATGGCCATGTCGTCCATCTGATCGATCAGACCGGCCGCTGACGCGGCTTCCCGAGCGGATGCGCGTCGACTTCGTCGCCAATGCCAGCCACGAGCTTCGCACCCCCCTCGCCTCGATCCTCGGTTTCATCGAGACGCACTGGGCGACGAGGCTGGCGACGATCCCGAAATCCGCCCCGCTTCCTGAAGGTCATGTTCGACGACAGCGCGCCGGATGCAACGGCTGGTCGAGGATTTGATCTCGCTCAGCCGGATCGAGGCGGACAAATATCGCCAGCCGGCCCAGTCCATGGACACAGCCGACACAGTCAACGATGTCTGGGAGGGAGTTTCTCGACTCGGCTCGCCTCGCGCCGAAGATATCGCCTGTGATCTGGCCGAGGACCTGCCGCCTATCGCCGGTGATCAGGCCCCAACTGTCTCAGATGCTGTCTGATCGGCAGTACGATGAAATATGGGCGCGTCGAAACGCCGATCCGCGTGTCGCTCAACCGGGATGGCGAGATGCTTCGCCTGAGCGTCGCCGACCGTGGCGACGAGATCGCCGCCGGCCATATCCCGCGCCTGACCGAGCGTTTTTATCGTGTCGATTCGGGGCGCAGCCGCAGCATCAGCGGCACCGGCTGGTGCGCCATCGTCAAGCATATCGTGGGCGGCATCGCGGGCGGCTGGAAGCTCCCCAGTGAAGTGGGCATGGGAACGACGGTCACGGTGCGGCTACCGCCATTGAAGACCAACGCAAAGTCGTTTTCCGGGTCGGTGTCACAAAGAGCAATAAAATGTCACACGGGAGTATGGCGGGCATGGCAGCGCCAGTCCCGCACCCACCAGTGGCTCAAAGGAAATCGGTGCCTGCCCCTGCCTATTCGCCGCGATGTTCGCTGGCGGCCACTGTCACGATCAGGCCAATGGCGGCAGCGCGGGCGTGCGCGACCAGATCACGGCGGTGGGCTCTTCGACGGTCTATCCTATACCACCATCATCGCCGAACGCTTTGTCGCTGCCGATCCAGAGGCCAAGGCGCCGGTGGTCAGAGTCGACCGGCACGGGCGCCGGCATCAAGCTGTTCTGCGCCGGCATCGGTGCCGGACATCCAGACATCAAAGATGCCTCTCGCCGCATGAAGGCCAGCGAATATCGCGATTGCGCTTCGCATGGCGTCAAGGCGCTGCTCGAAGTGCAGATCGGCATCGACGGCATCGCCTTTGCAGTGTCGAAGCGTGGGCCGCGCATGGCGCTGACCACCGCCGACATATACCGGGCGCTCGCGGCACGGCCCGGCGGACAGCCGAATAACGCACGCACGGCGCGATGTGAACCCTGCGCTGCCGCCATTCCGATCCGGTCTATGGCCCACCCGCCACCAGCGGCACGCGCGACGCGCTGGCCGAGCTGATCATGGCGCATGGCTGCGATGCGGTCGGGCAAAGCCGCCGAATGGCCAAAGCGCGATCCGGAAGCGCATCACCTGATGTGCACGCGCGTTCGCGAGAACGCCCATATCGACGCAGGCGAGAACGACAATCTGATCGTTCCGAAGCTGCAGTCAATCCCAATGCGATCGGCATCTTCGGCTATTCTATCTCGAACCGTCACATCGTCGATGGCGTAGCGATCAACGGCGTTGCGCCCAGCTATCAGGCGATCGCCGAGATCGCTATCCGGGTTCGCGACCGCTTTATGTCTATGTGAAGAAGGCGCATCGACGCCGTTCCCGGTCTTCGCCAGTTCCTGATCTCTATGCGGACAATGCGGGGCAGAAGGGGCTTTGGTGCGCCGCGATCGCATCCCGCCTGCGATCCGGGCGCGCTCGCGGGCGATCATCGCCGGCGAGTCACGCTCGACCTGCGGCCCTGCCGTCAGTGACCGGCGTCGTCCTTTTGATCCTGATCGTCGGGCTCCGGCCTGATCGCAGGCGACCACTCCTCAGATGCGCGCGCTGGGCTTTCGGCGGCGGACGGGCACACGGATCAGTTCGCTGCCGCATCATCATGGCTGGTATGTCGCCCTTTGGACGCCCGCGCCACCGCTGCTGTTTCTCGCCATCTGGGCGCGACCTCACCCGCGCTCGTCACCGATATGGTGCTGGGACCCCGGCGCCGCGCAGCTCCGGCGCCCGGCTTCAGGCGTGCCGCGATCCTGTCCGGAGGCGCGGGCATTGGCGGCAGGCCGGGCTTGCGCCTTCCACCGCTCTCGCGCGTGCTGGCTCCGGCTTATGACGCGGCGCAAACCCGCATCGACTGGATCGCGACGGTCGTCGTGTTGATGCTGGCGCTGGCCGGCGCCCTGTGCCTATTTCGCGCGTGCGGCCCGATTTCTCGGCGAGAACCCGGATCAGGCGCGTCATTCTGGGGCTGCTGCTCGGCGCCTCGCTGATCGCGATTTTGACGACCGCCGGCATCGTCGCCTCACTGCTCTCTAAGCGGGACGCTTTTTCTCAGTCGTGCCGATCACCGATTTCCTGTTCGGCACGCATTGGAGCCCGCAGGTCATCGACCCGCGCGATCCCGGAGCATCGCTGGGCGCGGTGCCCTTGTTCTGGGGACCTTCTTCATCGGTGCGGTGATCGCGATGGCGGTCGCCATTCCCTTCGGCCTGTTGAGTGCAATCTATCTGACCCAATATGCCGCCCCGCGCGCCGCATCATGAAACGGTGCTGGAGGTGCTCGCGGGCATTCCGACCGTCGTCTGGCTATTTCGCGGCGCTGACCGTCGCGCCGGCAATTCGGCAATTCGCGTTGCGATCAGGATCGACTGGGCGTCGTCCAAAGCGCGTTAGCCGCCAGGCTGGTCATGGGCGTGATGATCATTTCCCTTCGTATCGTCCATGGCCGATGACAGCTTGGCCGCCGTGCCCAATGCGATGCGCGACGGCGGCGGCGATGGGCGCGACCCCGTCGGAGACGATCCTGCCCGCGTCATGCTGCCTGCGGCGCTGCCCGGCGTGGTGGGCGGCGTCCTGCTGGCGGTCAGTCGCGCGATCGGCGAGACGATGATCGTCGTCATGGCGGCCAGCGGCGTCGCCACTGACCGCCAATCCCTTTACCAACACGACCACCGTGACGCGTCAGATCGTCGATCTGCTGACCGGCGAGCGGAGTTCGACAACCCCAAGACCACAGCAGCCTTCGCGCTCGACCTTACGCTGTTCATCATTACGCTGCTGCTCAGCATCGTCGCGCTGACGGTCGTGAAGCGTTACCGGAAACCTGAATAATCGGCCGTCCTCCCCTGCGGACGATGCGCCCGTCCGCCCCACCCTCTGGGACAGCCCGGCCATGGCGGCGGCGACTGCGCCGGCGTTATGCGGCCGAAAAGCGCTTCCGGCCTTCTGGGCACGGCGGCGGTGGCGCTGTCGGCTGCCTTCCTGGCGCTTCTGCTGATCACGATGGTCGCGCAGGGCATTCGCGGCTTTACCGAGACGAAGGTCACGCTGCCGGTCAATCTCGCCCATGCCGATCTGCCGATCGAGCCGTCGCGGGTGAAGGGCGCAGCGCCGATCTTGCCACGGCTGGTGCCGGCTTGGAGGATGCGGTCGCGACGGCCGCCACCATACGGTTCGGTCGCGACGGCACCGAACCTCTTGTCGCCCGGCGCATGGCTGATCGTGCGCGATGCGATCAAGGCGATCCGTCGATCCTCCACCGCGGTCACCTTCACCTGCCGGTCGCCAGCCCCTATGATGTCGCCGCCAAGGGGCGAAGCACCCCCGATGCGGAAGGGGGTGGTCGCACGTCTCCGGCAACAGCGGGTACTGTCGACAGGATGGAACTGGAATTTCCTGACCGATGCCGATGCGACCGACCCGACGCGTGGGTATCTGGGGCGCGGCCAAAGGCTCGCTGCTGACCATGCTGGTCACGCTCGCGCTCGCTTTCCCGATCGGGGGTGCTGGCGGCTCTCTATCTGGAAGAATATGCGCCCAGAACCGCTGGACCGACCTGATCGAGGTGTCGATCAACAATCTGGCGGCGGTGCCGTCGATCATCTTCGGCCTGTTGGGGCTGGCGGTGTTCCTCAACACCTTCGGCCTGCCACGCTCTGCCCCGGTCGGCGGTCTGACGCTCGCGCTGATGACGATGCCGGTCATCGTCATCGCCGGGCGTAACGCGATCAAGTCGGTGCCGCCCTCGATCCGCGATGCCGCGCTGGCGATTGGGGCTTCACGGGTGCAGGTGATCTTTCACCATGTCCTGCCGCTCGCGCTGCCCGGCATCTTAACCGGCGATCATCGGCATGGCCCGCGCGCTGGGCGAGACCGCGCCGCTGCTGATGATCGGCATGCGCGCCTTCATCGCTGGCACCGCCGCGCAGGCTGACCGATCCGTCGACCGTGCTGCCGGTCAGATCTTCCTCTGGTCGATCAGGTCGATCAGGGCTTCATCGAAAAAGACCTCGGCCGCGATCATCGTCGCTTCTGGTCTTCCTGCTCGCGATGAACGGGCTGGCCATCTACCTCCGCAATCGCTTTGAGACACGCTGGTGACACCCCCAAGATAACTGCGCGCAACGTCGGCGTGTCCTATGGCGCCAAACAGGCGATCCACGACATTTCGATCGATGTCGACATGGACCATGTCATCGCCTTTATCGGCCCGTCGGGCTTGCGGCAAATCGACCTTCCTACGCACGCTCAACCGGATGAACGACACCATCCCCTCGGCGCGGGTGTCGGGTGACGTGCGCCTCGACGGGCAAGATATCTACGCGCCAGAGATGGATGTGGTGCAGTTGCGCGCACGGGTCGGCATGGTGTTCCAGATCCCTTCCCCAAAGTCGATCTACGAGAATGTGGCCTATGGCCCGCGCATCCATGGCACGGCCAATTCGCGCGGCGAGCTCGACATGATCGTCGTTCGCTGACCCGCGCCGGCCTTTGGAACGAAGTGAGGATCGCCTCTCCAGCGGCACCGCATTGTCGGGCGGCCAGCAGCAGCGTCTGTGCATCACGCGCCATCGCGGTCGATCCGGAAGTCATCTGATGGACGAGCCGTGCAGCGCCTTGGACCCGATCGCCACCGCCAAGATCGAGAACTGATCCACGACCTGCGCGGCCTATGCCATCGCCATCGTCACGCACAACATGCAACAGGCGGCCCGCGTTTCGCAGCGTACCGCCTTTTTCCATCTCGGCACCTTGGTCGAGTATGGAAGACGTCCGACATCTTCACGAACCGAAGGAAGAGCGGACCAGGACTATATTACCGGCCGTTACGGCTGAGGACGAGGATCATGGACCACACCGTAAAAAGCCTTTGACAACGATATCGGCCGCGCTTGCGCGGACTGATCAGCCAGATGGGCGGATTGGCCGAGGAAGCGATCGCCAATGCGATCAAGGCGCTGCAGCGCTCCGATCTGGAACTGGCGCGCAAGGTGCGCGGGACGACAAGGCGATCGACCTGATCGGGCCGAGGTCGAGCGACTGGCCGTGCGCACGATCGCCCTCCGGGCCCCCATGGCCAACGACCTGCGCGAGGTCGTCGCCGCTCAAGATCGCCAGCGTCGTCGGCACATATCGGCGATGCCAGAAACATCGCCAAGCGCGTGCCCATGCTGGGAGAAGCGAGGATCGGATCGAGCCGATCTCGATCCTGCCGCCATAGCCAAATCGCCTCGGCGATGGTGCATGACGTGCTTGATGCCTTCGCCGCGCGCGATGCCGAGGCGGCGATCCGCGTGCGCGACAGCGACACCGCGCTCGACGATTTCTACGATTCCATCTTCCGCACGCTCGTCACCCATATGGTCGAATCCCAAGACGATCGGACAGGTCGCGCACCTGCTGTTCATCGCCAAGATCTCCGACGGATCCGGGGATCATGCGACGAACGTCGCGGAGATGGTCTATTCGCCGCCACGGGCACGCAAATGGGCGAGCGTGACCGCAGCGGCACTCTGCCTTCTTGAGGAACAGGCACCATGGCACGGGTAAAGATGTTGCTGGTCGAAGACGACGCCGCGCTGGCGGAACTGCTCGTCTTCCATTTCAAGCGCGAGGATTTCGAGGTCGTCCACACCCCGATGGCGAGGCGCTGCTGCTGGCGCGCGAACACGCGGACATCGTCCTGCTCGACTGGATGGTCGAGGGATTTCGAGGATCGGGTGTGTCGCCGCCTGCGCCGCGCCGGAACCGCCAATGTACCGATCATCATGCTGACCGCGCGCGGTGAGGAAGAGGACCGCGTGCGCGGGCTGGAGACGGGCGCGGACGATTATGTGACCAAGCCCTTCTCGCCGCGCGAGCTGGTCGCGCGCGCCGTCGGTGCCGTCCCCTTCGCCGCGTCCGCCCTGCCTTGGCCGGCGAAGCCTTGGTCTGTCTGGACATCGAGATGGATACGGTGGGTCTGGGTCCGCCGCGCGGGCAGGTCGTCTCGCTCCGGCCCACCGAATTCCGCCTGCTCAAGCATTTCTGGAGCATCGGGCTGGGTCTTCTCGCGCGAGCGGTTGCTCGATGCGGTCTGGGGCCATATTCCGGATATCGAAAGCCGCACCGTCGACGTGCATATCCGCCGCTTGCGTAAGGCGATCAACATTGGCGATCGGCCCGATATCATCCGCACTGTCCGCTCGGCGGGCTATTCGCTGGACGCCGGCGTCTGATCTCCCCGCATTCGATCCGAAAATGGATGAAAAATGCATCTGTAATCGGGTCGGAAGCGAAACAAAGGGAAACCAAGTGCCGGGTGGGGCGTTCCTCATCCCCGCGCTAACGCGCGCTTCTGAATAGGAGATTATCGCATGAAGCTCGTTTTCTGGCGGCCACGGCCCTGATCGCCGCGCCCGTCTTCGCTCAGGATACCACCGGGCGGACGCGGCCGCTCAGACCGAGCTCAGGGTCAGGCCAGCACGACGACCTCGACCACCGATGGTACCATGTCGGCGCAGGCCGGTATGAGCGCATCGGCCGGCACCGAGACGGCCGGGCTATCAACCCGCCCAGCCCGCCCTCGCCGGTACGCCGCAGGCGCGGTGCTCCCGATCGTGTTCAAGCAGGCGCCGAGGCCCGAACAGGCTTTCCCGCCGCCCGCCGCCCGCGAAAGCTATCCGATCTGCAAGAAGGGTCAGTATGACCAGTGCCGTCAGCGCGGCGGCAAGTAATCGTCCGATACTGAACGGTTGGGATAAAGAAGGCGCCGGCTCTCACAGGGAGGGCCGGCGCTTTTCTCGCGACAGGCCGGGGACCTATTCGTCCACCAGTTTCAGCAGCCGTCGCTCGACGGGGGCGAGACCGGGCCCCGTTCGTGGCCCCGTTTTAATCATGCCACCCTCGCCGATCAGCGCCCACATGCCCTGTCGATTGCGGGCGCGCGGGCGTTTTTCGATGCGATATTCAGGCCGCTCCGCCGTACGGCGGCGAGCCGAAAAGATCGCAACGTCCCGGCAAATCCATCGCATAGTCCCGCCAATGACCGGCCGCGACCATTTCGCCCGTACAAGTCCAGAATGCGCGTCAGTTCGGCCCCGCTCAGACCCGACACAGGCTAGGCGCGCGCGGAAAAGGGCACGATCCCCATCAGGCGCGGTCGCGCTTCTCTTCCTGCTCGGCGAGCAGCATGTCGAAGTTGGCGGCGCAGCGTATCGAGTTCACAGGCAGCAGCTTTTCGACCTTCTGGGTCTGCGGATCGAACAGCTCGGAACAGGGCGTTCCATAGGGGACGAAGCGCTTTTCGGGCGCCGCGCCGCCCTCGACCATGGTCGGGCGCGCCGGGATGCCGACCATCACCGCACCTTCGGGCACATCGCGGAGGTCACCACGGCATTGGCGCCGACCCGCGCGCGGTCCGACCGTGATCGGGCCGAGAACCTACGCGCCAGATCCGACGATCGCGCCGTCCATCAACGTGGGGTGGCGCTTGCCCGCCCGCCATTGTCCGGGCTGGTGCCCCAGCGTCACGCGCGATAAATGGTCACGTCATCGCCGATCTCGGCCGTCTCACCAATGACGACGAAGCCGTGATCGATGAAGAAAAATTGCGTCCGATCTTGGCGCCGGGATGAATGTCGATCGCGGTCAGGAAGCGGGTGAAATGGTTGACCAGCCGCGCGGGAAGAAGGCCCGTGCCCGGTACAGCCGGTGCGCGACCTTATGCCCGCCAAGGCCCAGACACCCGGATAGAGCAGGATTTCCGCGCGTGAATGGTGCGGGATCACGGGCCCGGATCAGATCGGATAAGCGGCCAATCGGCTCGGCATGAGCATGTCCCCATATGCGATACCGGCATTTTTTAGGCACAGCATTCGACAAATTCAAGCCAAACACGGGAACCGGACCACACCTAAAGTCTATCTTTTGTTGCAGGATATAGCGGCAAACGGCATGTCAGCGTCACCGCCCTTTCGGGCAAAGGGCAAGGAGATACAATGGACCTGAGCAGCTTCGACCTGATTCATATCCTGCCGTTCGTCGCCGTCGGCTTTGCCGCGCAGGTCGTCGATGGCGCTCTGGGCATGGCCTTCCGGGGATTTCCAATGCCTTTGCTGATGAGCCTCGGCGTCCCGCCCGCCACGCATCGGCCGGCGTGCACAGCGTCGAGACCTTCACCACCGCGGTATCGGGGATCAGCCATGCGGTTCACCGCAATGTCGACTGGAAGCTCTTCCTGCGGTTGATGATCCCGGCGTGATCGGTGGTGCGCTTGGCGCCTATGTCCTGTCCAACATCGATGCAGCCGTCGTGAAGCCGTTCATCCTGATGTATCTGGCGGGTATCGGCGTCTATCTGCTGATCCGCGCGCTCCGGCATCGCCCGAATGTCCGCGAGCCCAAGATCGTCGACCGCTCGGCCTGATCGGCGCTTTCTGGATGCGGCGGGCGGCGGCGGCTGGGGCCCCGTGGTCGTCCAACCTGCTGGCACAGGGGCGCGGCACCGCGCCTGACGATCGGTACGGTCAACACCGCCGGAAGTTCTTCTGACCGCCACCATCTCGGCGACGTTCATCACGCAGATGGGCTGGGCCGCTTTCACCATGGCGACGGTCGGCCTGCTGATCGGCGGGATCTTCGCCGCCCCTTCGGCGCAATGCTCGCCAAGCGGTTGCCGCCGCAAAAGCTGTTGCTGATGGTCAGGATCATCGGCGACCCTGACCAGCCTTTGGGGTCTCTACAACGCGTTCAGTTTTGTCCGGACGCCCTGCCCCACCATGGGCGGGGCGTCCACGACAAGGATCGAGCGACGGCCGAGTGCGTCGTCGCCACCGCCTGCATCACCGCCGCGATCCGGACCGCCGTCTGGATGATCTCGGCCGAGACGCCCGACTTCTTCAGTACGGCCTCATGCGCGTCGATGCACATGCCGCAGCCGTTCATCGCCGACACCGCCGGGCTGAACAGCTCGAAATCGATCTTGTCGATGCCGGGCGCGCCGATCACGTTCATGCGCAGCTTGGCCCGGCATGTTGCGATATTCACGGTTCCCAGCCAGATGGGTTGAAGCGATAATGGACATTGTTCATCGCCATCACCGCTGCCGCCGCACGTGCCGCGGTCGCCGCCTCAGGCGACAGCTTGGCGCGCATTCGGCTTCGGCGGCCTCGACCAGCGGCTTATAGCCCGAGCCATGGGCGCAGGTGAGCAGCAGGCCGTATTTGCGCTGGTCGTTCAGCACCGCTTCGTTCAGCAGCGAGCCGACATTCAGGCGGATGTCCTGGCGAAATCGGGCAATTGCCCGGCAAATTCCTTGGCGACATATTCATGCTCCAGATACGATGCCCCAGTCCGGACTGTCGATCGGGAAGACCGACAACCCTCGCCGGGGCATCGAAAAAAGGCTGAGCCGGGGGGACGCTGCCGCCCCCGACGCGAAGATTATTCGGCCGCGAGCTGGAGGACGTCGTCGCCCTTGTTCCAGTTGCGCGGGCAGAGCTCGTCGGTCTGCAGCGCGTCGAGAACACGCAGGGTTTCCTGCGGGTTACGACCGACGTTCAGGCCGTTGATGGTGACGTGCGGATGACATTGTCGGGATCGATGATGAAGGTCGCGCGGTAAGCGACATGCTCATTCTTGTCGACGATGCCCAGCGCGCGTCGGCAAGGACGCAACCATTGTCCGCGATCCGGGGAAAATCGGCCGCGGCCAGATCAGAAAGGATCCGACTTGCGCCATGCGGTGGACATGCGCGGTGTCGGTCGACGCGCCGATCAGCACGGCGTCACGATCGGCGAAATCGTCCTTCAACTGCATAGCCGACGATCTCGGTCAGGCACACGAGGTGAAATCCTTCAGCCAGTAAAACAGGACCTTCCACTTGCCCCTCGTACGAGGTATCGCTGATCGTCTCGCCAGCGGGCAGCGCGTTGGTACCCCTGCTGGACGGGAACGGTGAATGCGGGGAGCTTGTTCCAACGGTCAACATGGCAGTAATGCCTCCTTCTCTTCCCAAAATTCGGCTTCAGGCCATCCTCTGCAAACGATCGGCGGCTATCCGCCTGTATTCGTTGCGGTGACGACGATAGGGGACTGGCGCCGTTGATCCAACAAGCTATTTGTCAATCGCAATCGACTGAGACGATCAATGGCCGCGACCTACCTACCGACACTGAAACAGCTTCAATATCTCGTGGCCCTGCAGGACCATGGCCATTTCCGGGCGCGCAGCCGATGCGTGCTTCGTCACGCAATCGACCTTTGTCGGCGGGCCTGCGCGAGTTGGAAACATTGATTGGCGTGACGCTGGTCGAGCGGACGCGGCGCGTGGTGCGCTTCACGCCGCTGGGCGACGGATCGCCGACAAGGCCCGGCGTTGTGCTGCGCGAGGCGGACGAACTGGGCGACATGGCCCGCGCCGCCAGCGGCCCTTGTCGGGTGAGATGCGGATGTCAGTCATCCCGACCATCGCCCCGTTCATGCTGCCGCGCATCCTGCCTCGGCTGCGCCACGACTATCCGGACCTGAAGCTTTTCTTGCGCGAGGCTGAGTGCGCCGGCCTGCAGAGCGCCTCCACAATGGCCCACCGACTGCGTCCTCCTCGCCCTGCCCTTCGCCTGCGGTGAGGTAACAGCGAACCCTTGTTCGACGACCGACTGTTCGTCGCCTTTCCCACCGACGAAGACAATGCACCGCCCTCGGCCATTCCGGCGGCCGCGATCGACGAAAATCGGCTGCTGCTGCTCGGGACGGCCACTGCCTGAAGGATCATGCGCTCGCCGCCTGCAATCGCCCTGAACTGCGTGCCGAGGCGACGATGCTGAGCACCTCGCTCCACGATCGTGCAGATGGTCGACAATGGGCTGGGCATGACGATGCTGCCCGAAATGGCGCTGCGCTCGGGTATTCTCGACAACACCCATATCACCGCGCGCCCCTCGATGCCGAAAATGCCGCCGCAAAAGATCGCTCTGGTGGCGCCGGGCCAGCCCGCGCGAGAAGGGACTTCCGTCTGCTGGCGCGCAGGTGCTGGCGGAAGCCGCCTGACGCGCAACCGTCGCGCCGCTGCGGCGTCTTGCCCTCGATATCGCCCTTCATCTTCCAAGGAGACTGGCCCGACCCGGAACATACGGCCGTTGATGACCCTGTTGCCGCTCACCGCTTTGGTGATGCTCGGCGCCTGCAGGCGCGGACGCGATGCACGGGAGGTTCGGCGACCCCTCCTCCACGACCGCACCGGCCGCCCCGACGGCGGCACGACGCCGCCCGTCAGCGCCGACCAGCCCATGGCTCCGACGCGTACGATCTGGACAATGCGGCCGCCACGCCGTCCCTGTCCTCGCTGGTCGCAGCGATCCGGGCCGCTTCATTGTCGACCACGCTCGCCGGCCCCGGGCCGTACGCTCTTTGCCCCCCTCAATGCCGCCTTTGCACGCACGGCACCGAGTGCAGGAACAGTTGCTGCAGCCCGCCAATCACGGCTCGCTGGTGCGGCTGCTGCGTTTCCATATGCTGCCGGGGTCGTCACCATCTCCGACCTGCAGCAGCAATCGCGGCGGGCGGTGGGACCCGCAACGATCATGACCGTCCGGGGCGAGCCACTGACGCTCAACATGACACAATCGATCATCACTCTGAGCGATGCGAGCGGCAACAAGAGCTATATCGAAGCGGGCGACCAACGTCAGGCCAATGGCATGATCCACATTATGAACGGCGTGCTGGTACCAAAACTGGATTAAGAACGTTACTTCTCCGGAATGCCCGCTTCGTGACCGGATCGGGCATTCGTCTCTTCATTCGTGGTGTGATGCGCACGCTCCGCCACCAATAGTAGGAGGTAAGCTTTTAATGATGAAGACTGTCGCCATTTCGCCTCGGCCACCATGCTGGCCGGCGTCGCCCGACTCAGACCGCCCGGCCCAGACTCCCCCGCCCAGACCCTGCCCCGCACCTGCCACTCCGGCTCCGGCCCAGCTACGCCGGTTGCGGCCAGTACGGTCATGCAGGTTCTGGCGGCAACGCCCGACCGGAGCACCACGCCAAGCTGGTCACCACGCCGCGGCCTGACCGCCGATCTTTCGGGCGGGACCGTTCACCGTCTTCGCGCCCAGCGACGAAGCGTTCAGCCGGATGCCGGCTGGTGCCTCGACAATCTGAGCAAGCCGGAAAACAAAGGCCGCGCTGGCGACCATCCTGAAATACCACGTCGTCTCGGGCAAGGTGACCGCCGAACAGCTCAACAGCAGATCACCGCCGGCAACGGCACCGCGACGCTGACCACGTTGGCCCGGTCAGCCGCTGACCGCGCAACAGCCCGAACAGCAATGTCATGCGCTGACCGACGTCAACGGCCAAAAGGCTTATGTGGACAAGGCCGATGTGCCCGCGACCAATGGTGTGATCCACCTGACCAATGGCATCAGCGTGCCTAAGATCATTAAGGTCGGTCGCAGGTGAGACGAAGAGGCGGGGTTTCAGCCCCGCCTTTTTTATGGCTGGCGTTCGTCTTCCTGCCACCGCTCACGCTGCCGCCGCATC